GGAGGCATCACCTTCCCCAACTTGAAACTGTACTATAAAGCGGTTGTAATTAAAATGACATGGTAATTGAATAAAGACAGATATGCAGACCAATGAAATAGGATTGAATATCCTGACACAGACCTCAAATATATGACCATTTAATCTTTGATATGGGAGCAAGAAATACCAAGTGGAGCATGGTAAGCCTCTTTAACAAGTGGTGCTGGGAAAACTAGACAGCTATATGCGAAAAAAATAAAGGACTTAGACCTGTATATAATGCCATGTACAAAAATCAGATCAAAATGGATTAAAGACCTCAACATCATATCTGAACCCATAAATTACCATGTGGCAAAACCCTTGACAATATTGAAGCTAAAGGTATCTTCAAAGATGAAATGCCACAGACCAGGCAACTGAAAGCAAAGATATACAAGTGGGACTACATTAAACTAAGAAGCTTCTGCGCCTCAGTGCAGAAATAGTAACCAAGATACAAAGACAGCCTACAGAATGGGAAAGGTTATTCGTCCAATACCCTTCTGATAAAGGGTTAATGTCAAAGCTATGTAATGCACTGGTAGAACTTTACACCAACCACATCAAAAATGGGGAGAGGAAATAACAGAAAGTTCCTCAAAAAAGAAATTAGAATCACCAAAAGGCACATGAAAAAATAATCTTTATCACTAACCATATGAAAATCAAAACAAAAATGAGATATCATCTCATAACACAGAGAATGTTACACATCCAAAAGAACAAAAACAAGTGTTGGTGCAGATGTGGGGAGAAAGGGACTCTAATTCATTGTTGGGGGAAATGCCAACTGGTCCAACCTTTTTTAGAAAGCAATATGGGCATTCCTCTGAGTACTGACGGCAGAGATGAGACGTCAGTACTCATCAATACACTGGCTCGGCTCTTCACTCGCTACCTGTCTGAATGCAAGGTTCCATCTCAATGGAAAACCAGCAGGACCGTACTACTGTTCAAGAAGGGAGACATCCATGACATTGGCAACTATCGCCCGATCTGCCTATTGTCTGTCATCTACAAGTTGTTCACTCGAGTCATCCTGAATAGGATTGGCAGAACACTAGATGAAGGACAACCATGTGAGCAAGCAGGGTTCCGCAAAGGATTCAGCACCATCGACCATATCCACACGATAACCAAACTCATTGAGGTTTCTCGGGAGTTCAAGATGCCGCTCTGCTTAACGTTCATTGATTTAAAGAAGGCCTTTGATTCTGTTGAGACGGAAGCGGTCATTGAAGCCCTAGCCAATCAGGGCATTCAAGCCCAATACATCAGGATCCTCCGTGAGCTGTATTGCGGATTCACTACCAGGATCTCACCATTCTACAAAGAAGTGATCGTTGATGTCAAGAGAGGGGTGCGGCAGGGTGATACCATTTCACCAAAACTCTTCAGTGCCACCCTCGAGAACATCATGCGACGACTGGAATGGGAAGGAATGGGAGTGAAGATAGATGGTCGGCAACTACACCACCTCCGCTTTGCTGATGACATTGTTTTAATAACACCAAACATCAGCCAAGCGGCACAAATGCTGGCCGACTTTGACCGTGAGTGTGGAAAGGTAGGACTACAGCTGAATCTTACGAAGACAATGTTTATGAGAAACAGCCTTGTTCCTGACGCCCCATTCGCTCTCAATGGAACGACCATCTCCGAATGCAACAGCTATGTGTACCTAGGTCGAGAGGTCAACATGACAAATGACCTGGCACCCGAGCTGCGCAGGAGGAAGAGAGCGGCTTGGAACGCCTTCAAGAACGTCGAAGAAATAGCTAAGAGGACGAAGAACCTCCGGCTCCGGGCACATCTCTTTGATTCCACTGTTCTTCCTGCATTAACATATGCCTCAGAGACCTGGGCCCTACGCAAACAAGATGAGAACGCCATTCAGGTCTCCCAAAGAAGAATAGAAAGAGCTATGCTTGGAATATCACGTTTCACTCAAATGAGAGAACGAATCCGGAGTTCTAACATCCGTCGACGATCAAGGATCAGGGACGCTGTCTCATTTGCCAAGGTGTCGAAAATAAGATGGGCTGGTCACGTAATGAGATTTAAAGACGACCGTTGGACTAGAGCTGTTACTGATTGGATTCCACGGGATGTCAAGAGACCGCGTGGCCGCCCACCTACCAGATGGTCAGACTTCTTTGTCAAGGTCATGAACGATCGGTTGAGGCCCTCCATGTTCCCGGAGCGAAGAGATGCCATTGGGCTACACTAGCACGCGACAGGGACAAATGGAGATGTTACTGGCGCCCGCTCGAGCAAATCGCCGACTAACGGGAAGTTAAGTGATTAAGTGATGGGCATTCCTCAAAAAACTAGAAGTTGACCTCCCATTTGACCCAGCAATACCACTTCTGGAATATATCCTGGGGTCCCAGAAACACACAGCAGGAATACCATCTTCACTCCTATGTTCTTTGCAGCACTATTCACAATAGCCAGAATCTGGAAACAATCTGAGTGCCTGAGAACAGATGAATGGATTTAAAAAAAACTATGAAATAACTACACAATAGAATACTATACAGCAGTTTGGAAAAATAAAGCCATGAAATTTTCCTATAAATGGATGGGCATGGAGAGTATCATGCTATGTGAAATGAGCCAGAAAGAGAGGAACAGATACAGAATGACTGTATTCATTTATGATGTATACAAAACAAACAAACAAACACTGTCTTCCCATTGTTCATCAATTTGCTCAAGCGGGCCCAGTAATGTCTTCATTGTGAGACTTATTGTTACTGTGTTTGGCATATTGAATGCTCTTGGTAGTTTGCCAGGCTCTCCAAGAAGGGTGGAAGAATCGAACTCGGCTTGGCCAGGCTGGCTGTGCACAAGGCAAATGCCCTACCGCTGTGCTATACATACATACATACATATACATATACATATATATATATATAATCTTCTACTGTATAGTAGAATATTAATATCAAAGACCAGGAAAAACAGGAACTATGATTGCTCGGTGGTTGGAACTAAACACAAGTATGTGTGGGACAGTGGTTAAGTTAGATAGAGAAGAGGCCAGTTTGCAATAGTAGTTGGAAATTATCACATTGGAGAAGAACTGAGTGTTAAAAGTAGGTAAAGGGATGTATATGATAATATTTCAGTATCTGTATTTCAAACAGGATGTCCAAAAGGAGAGAGAGAAAAAGACAGCGAGACAGAGACAGATAGAGACTGAGATAAAGAAGAAAAGTCCACCATAGAAGCAGGCTGGGGTGCATGGGGTGTGATGCAAGGGAAATGGTATCACTGGTGCTGGTAAATTTACACTTGTGGAAGGGTGGGTGTTGGAACACTGTATGACTGAAACCTAATCACCAAAATAAGTTCTAGGGTATGTAAATGATTTAAAACCTAAAAATAAATAAAGAATGACTTTTAACATTATAGTAGCATCAGTAGCCCCTAATGTTGTACCCAACAGAAACAAACATGTAACATAGATCCATAAATAACAGTGCCTTCTTGGAAGTTGTGGAGACTAGAATCATATGCCAAGGAACCTAAAAGAAGAAATTAGAGTCATGTCTTCTGTAAAATAAGGTTTATATGTCTTCCCAGAAGGCACTAAGTCAAAATGGAGGAAGTAATAGCAACTTTGAATGCAAAGAGAACAATTAGAAATCCCTAGGAACATATAACTAAAGGAAATATAACACCAAAGGATCGTAATAATCTGGAAATCAAATATATACACATGGATATCTATGGTAAATGAAATAGCTATCTTAAACTTAATTAATAAAAATAAAGAATAAAATCATCAAAATTAAGAAAATTGTGCACAAACAATAAAATTAAAAATAATTTTAAGTTCAACAAAATAAAATGGCGATATTATCAGCAAATGACCAAAAAAAAGAGAATCTGTGAGTTTAATATGAACATTAAAATTATGTGCATATTCAAAAAGCCCAGGGAAATTTTTCTGTTTTTGTAAACATCAGGGAAATCCATGAACTGTCATGCCCAACCTGGTAGAATGACAGTCATCCAGACTGAAGAAATACTGATTTTTATTATGTTTTGTTAAGTAATAATCACTTAAAAAAATCACTTAACTTCCCATTAGTCGTCGATTTGCTCGAGCGGGCGCCAGTAACGTCTCCATTTGTCCCTGTCGCGTGCTAGTGTAGCCCAATGGCATCTCTTCTCTCCAGGAACATGAAGGGCCTCAAACCGATTGTTCATGATCTTGACGAAGAAGTCTGACCATCTGGTAGGTGGGCGGCCACGTGGTCTTTTGACATCCCGTGGAATCCAATCAGTAACAGCTCTAGTACAACGGTCGTCCTTAAATCTCATTACGTGACCAGCCCATCTGATTTTCGACACCTTGGCAAATGAGACAGCGTCCCTGATCCTTGATCGTCGACGGATGTCAGAACTCCGGATTCGTTCTCTCATTTGAGTGAAACGTGATATTCCAAGCATAGCTCTTTCTATTCTTCTTTGGGAGACCTGAATAGCATTCTCATCCTGTTTGCGTAGGGCCCAGGTCTCTGAGGCATATGTTAATGCCTCATTAATGTAATTAATGTTACATGTTACAAATTTAAAATACAACTTTAATATTTAAAATGTACATAAAGTAAGCATTCTGAGGAACAGAAAAACAAAAAATTTAAAATAAGATGAATGTCACTTGATAAAACTGTTTAATTAGGTCACTTTGTAATGTTTTTAAGTCCTAAATGGTAAGAACTCCTCAGAGTTATGATTAATGTAAGTCATTGATAATCTTTCTAATGTACTATTATTTGTAATATAGTTTTTAGGTAGAACTGATGGTTTTGCTTTAGTTGCAAACTTTCTCCCTATAAAGTACAGTAAGGTGGGGTAGGGCACAATTTCAAATGGTAAATTCAAAGCAAGTCAGTGGCAAATGAAGTGAAGGTGACTACCATCTTTAAAGTAATCCTTACCCTCATAAATTGTCTTCTTACAGGAAACAGACCTAATCTTGACTTTTAATATATCAATGCACCGATCTTGGTGGATGGAGAATGGACCAGGATGTATGGTGACGTCAGTGACACCCGCCCCTGACTGGGCCCCAGAAGACCATCGCTACATCACGGTCTCAGGTTGTTTTCTGGAGTACCAGTACATAGAAGTGGCTCATAGTTCCCTCCAGATTATTCTCGCAGTAAGTCTTGGACATCAAACTCTTCTTCAAATGCTTCCAGAGTTGTTTGGGTTTTGTGTAAACATCCACAGGGAGAATTGTGCATAATGTATGTCTATTTTGTTTTCCTCATGAATGCAACTTTTATAGGAAATTTGTCAGATTAAAACAAGCTCAGACCTTGACAGAATGTCTTGATTCTCTTGAGCAATCAGTAAATAGGCTTGTGCATCTTCAGCATTTTATGCAGACAATCAAGCCAACCAGTCAGGGTTTGGCTATTTGACTTTTGATGCGTCTTTCCCAAGGATTCTAAAGAGAAGTTCAGAGTTGTTTTATAGCTGACTTTCTAAAATACACAAATCTATAAGATTTTAATATATGTTTCTCTCCACAGCATTTCTTTCTAACTGCGCTGCTAGTTCTGTGAATTCTTTTGTCCATTTGTCCTATCTTCCTCTTATATTTCCCTAAGGCACCATCCTTCATCTTTTATCATCTCCTTTTTTCAAAACAATTTAGCTTTTCTATAAATTCTACCTCTAGACTACTATGCCCTCATTCTTCATAGTATTACACTGATAAAGAACCTTCTATCTACCAGAAACTGTAGAAGTTATAAATAAATCCTTTGACTGTAATTTCATGAAACAAATTTTTAAAGATGTGCTGATGTTATATAAAATATACAATTTTACACTATATTCTTATCACAATAAATAAACACTCTCCTCTCAAGAAAACTTTTATTAAGTGTATATTTTGTAGTATTTATAAATTTATTTATAAATTTAACATTTATTCTATGCATATCTACATTTATTTAACTTGTATGCACAGATTACATATATCTTTCTTGAACTTCATGTTAGAGCTATGATGATGTCTAAAGTCTTAAAATAGTCAACAAATAATAACATCGCATAAAATAGTCAACAAATAATAACATCGCATAATAATATTTTACCTTTTCTGTTATTTGAGAATGATTACTCACGAATCTACGACAACAAGACATACTAGTTATTGATGAGAAAGGAATTAATTAGGTCACATAAAATTCCTCGGAAGTTATAAAAATATGCAAGTGTCTGTATTTGATAGTATAATTTAGTCATGAGATCTTTTAATTGAGATTCACATTCATACATGTATACACATTTTTAAATACATAATTCCCAATACGCTGAGTATGTACTGTAAGTACTTCACATATCTGTGATGAAAAACTACAGAGGATTGTTCTTATGTAAGCTACTCAAGAAACAAGACTTATGTTCACCCCAGTCATTTAGGTTTCATACCCATGAATCGCACAGAGGGAGTATTGACATAAAGGTGCTCCTCCCTGGGAGGGAAGGCTGACTGTTTTCAGTTCATTGTCCAATACTAGTAACAGGGTCTCACAAAATTTAAAAAAGAAAAATAGACCAGTAAGGAGGGAGATTTATAAGTATTTGTATATCAAATAAATTACTTCTACAATATTTGAATTTTGTTCTTGACTAAATAATATTCATTGAATATGTCCAGCCTCACATTCTTCCTAATAAATAAACCCTTACATAACAGTTTTATATTCTAAAACATTGTTTTTGTTATCTGGAAACCAAGAAATATTTGATGAGTAGCAGTTTTATTATTTAAAATACACTTAAATAATTATTGTCCTGTGGGAAAAGTAAAATATTTTGAGATGGGAGATAAAATATCTTCACAAATATGTAAGGGGTATTTTAGATAAAATGTTTTTTGTTGGGACTCAGCTTTTCACTGAACACCAATATTTGAAAAAATCTACTTACATGTTAAGAATGATGAAAAGATATAGTTTATATGTATGGACAGTTCTACTGGAACCATTTTAGAGTTATGGGAATTAATGTGAATATGTATAAACTACATTTACAGCAGTATAAAGCCCTACTTAATTTCTTTTGGCATAAAAGTAATTTTCGAAAAAATACATTTGATGTGAAAGTATGTTTTTTGAAAATATGTCAGTTACTGACATACTTTGAGTCTGGAGAGATAGTACAGCAGATAAGCCTCTTGCCTTGTACATAGTCAACCCAGGTATAATCTGTGGTATGCCATTAAGTCCCACCAAACCTTACCCATCACTGAAAATGACACCAAAACAAACAAAAGCATCCCAAAGAGGAAGTAGCTTTACATAAGTAAAAAACATCTGTAAGAGGCCAAGAATTAGAGCATAAAAATGGATGAAATGTCTCCAGTAGCAGCTGTGACCAATATTTTAAGCTATTGGATCTCATTTATATTTTTTTCTGTCTGTATTATTCTCGATTAAGCAAGTCTGAGCAAGCCATCAAAGGATAAGGTGTCTACCACTTATTTTTCCCCTTGCCTTCCTTCCAGGGAACATTCTTTAACTAACTATGTTGTATCACCAAAAAGTAAATTAGCAATGACAACCCAAGAAGATGCTCAGGAGTTTCTACAATTGATGGTTGGGGTCTTGCTATTGTCTGCTTAGACTTGGGCAAAAAGAATCTTCTATTTAGAAAACTTAGAGATCTTAAGTAGTGTTTTGGGATGGAAATCAAAATGAGACTTATCTCGAACAATTTACTTTGCTCCATTTTGGGGAGGCTTCCAACTAAAGTTTTCTATAACCATACAGATCACTTCTGCTGTCATGATTAAGGGATGAAGTGTTATCTTGAATATCTGCTCCTCCCCATTTTGTGTATTCAAATTATCCCCCTGAGAAGACAATGAATATTTCCTGAGATCTTGTCCCCCTTCTGGCATCCAAATAAAGGACAGAATCCTTGGCCTTGCGGGTGTCACAGTGAAAAATAGAGTGAGGTTCCTCAGGATGTAAACCAGGTGCACACAGACATATGTTAGGTATATGATAGAGAATATGCCTTGTACATTTTATGACTTCATCGCAGCTTCTTCTTCATTCAGTCACCCTTTTGTAATATTAGCTGAAAACTCAGGCTTCTCATTGTCATTCTTTGAAGCTGACCCCCCCTCCAAGATAACTGTATTAGATATGCTTCCACAAAATGCTGCTCTTAGTTACTGTTCTTGATAAACTTCAAACAGCCTTTGAATCTTTTTTCTCCACCTTCATGCCCCTTTTTCTTCCTAGATTCCTGACCACTGTCATGCCATGTCACCCTATTGTTAACTTTTCTGCCAATCAACGATTGCTGATAAATTAGGACTCACAAAACCCAAATTTTCATTGCACATATTTAAGATCTCTCCAGTCTACAAAGGAAGATGTCTATGATATACATATAATTGAGAAAAAGAGCTATTAATCACACAGCCTCCAGCTGAGCAGAAAGTCCTGCCAGAGCAACATAATGTTGAGCCAGGTGTGAGATTTCCAGCTTCCTACTCTTCCAGCAGCATTTTCTTTTACGTAGTATCAGAATAACAGAATACAGGTGCGCAGTTTCAATAAAACCAGAAATAAATAAAAGCCTTATACTTACAAAGCAAATCAAATAAATATGCAGGGGAGAGCCAGGGAGGAGATCAACCAGAGAGACAGTGTTGTTCATATAACAAAAACATTAATCCGATCTCTTCAACTGCATGGTTTATAAAATGTGTTCACAGGAATTAATGGGGGGTTTTTTTGACTGTTGTAACAGTCCTGTGAGAGCAGCAGAACAGGTTAAAAGCCTTTCCCAAAAACCCTTAGCTAGTAAATAAGTAGAATGAATATGCTTACTAGATTTTTTCTGTAACCAAGGACAAGAAGTTATAAAGGCATGCTGGTATTAATAGCTCATCAGTAATGGATTACTGAAGTCCAAATAGTAAGATTTTCTTCAGTTTCAAAGAATACCATGAGCTCAGGTAGAGAAGGGACCACCAAATAAAGGATGCTTGGAGGGCCCCCTTGGGATGGGAGTTATGTGCAGAAGGTAGACTGTAGACCAAACATGATGACCACGTAATGCCTGTATTGCAAATCACAACACCCAAAGGAAGAGAGAGAGTAAAAGGGAATGCCCTGCCACAAGGTGGGGGTGGGGGAGGGTTGGGAGGGATATTGGGAACATTGGTGGTGGAGAATGGGCACTGGTGGAGGAATGAGTACTCTATCATTGTATGACTGAAACATAAGCAAGCACAAAAGTTTATAAGTCTGTAACTGTACCTCACAGTGATTCATTAAAAATTGTTTTAAAAATTTTTTTAAAAAAGAAAAAAAAGATTTTAGCCGAAGAGAAGGACAACATGGAGGGCGGGATCCACAGATCCCGAAGGAAAAAAAAAAAAACAGGTTCCAAAAAGAGCCGAGATCACCGGGAAGTCTCAGATGGGGTATGTACCGCATCCCGCCTCCCCCAGATGGAACCCCGGTGACCAGAAACCTCTACAAGCACAGCTCGAGTATGCGGGAACTAGGACTTTTCCTCAAAAATGCCGGGACTACACCTCCCAGGTAACCTCAGATTCCGGAAGTCACGCCCACAGCCCGCCCCCCCAGCGCCATCTTGACAGCATTTAGCCGAAGAGAAGGACAACATGGAGGGCGGGATCCACAGATCCCGAAGGAAAAAAAAAAAAACAGGTTCCAAAAAGAGCCGAGATCATCGGGAAGTCTCAGATGGGGTAGGTACCGCATCCCGCCTCCCCCAGATGGAACCCCGGTGACCAGAAACCTCTACAAGCACAGCTCGAGTATGCGGGAACTAGGACTTTTCCTCAAAAATGCCGGGACTACACCTCCCAGGTAACCTCAGATTCCGGAAGTCACGCCCACAGCCCGCCCCCCCAGCGCCATCTTGACAGCATTTAGCCGAAGAGAAGGACAACATGGAGGGCGGGATCCACAGATCCCGAAGGAAAAAAAAAAAAAACAGGTTCCAAAAAGAGCCGAGATCATCGGGAAGTCCCAGATGGGGTAGGTACCGCATCCCGCCTCCCCCAGATGGAACCCCGGTGACCAGAAACCTCTACAAGCACAGCTCGAGTATGCGGGAACTAGGACTTTTCCTCAAAAATGCCGGGACTACACCTCC